AATCTCAGAAAAATCTGAAAACAATATATGTTATGTAACATAACAATGCAAGCAACTTTTGCCTTGGAGTCATGTTCAAATTCGCAGTCAATCATGAGTTAAATATCGAAAACCAAAAAAAAAAGTTCTTTTTTTTTTACCAAAAAAAAAAACTTTTTTTCCCGGACGACGGGGGTACCGGACGTATGGGGGAGACGTCCGGGGGAGACGACCGGCCCCCGGAGCCTTTTTTTTTTTTTTTTTTTTTTTTTTTGTTATAGAGTATAGACGTAAAATTGGTTACTTGTTGGATTGGCTCAGTCACCTCAGTGACATCTCAAGTGTGCTTCATTGTCTGCAATAGAGGTAAAGCTGCTTCGATTCTAAATCTACTAATCTTGGTGGAACAGGGGGTGCTGTGGGGAAAATCTACAACACAGAGTGCCCCAACTATTCTTGGGGCAGGCACTTTGCAGCACATGGACCCATAAATTTCAGGGCTGTTTATACAGTGACACATAATATTCCAGAGAACAGAGCTAGGCATGGGCCCCACAGGCTGTCGGTTTCCAATGGCGTCATCCGCCAAGCAGTTTTGCTGACTCCACTGCTCGCGGGCAAAAGCAAGCATTAATTTTTCTGTTTCCACTCTGCCTAATCTGTTTCCACTCTGCCTAGGGACGGCTGGTACGCTCGCTGCCTCTAGAGGTTGGAAAATGTACCAGCCATCCCGTGCAGAAACGAGGCAAGGGGATTGCTCGCTGTGCTGAAAAAGCAGAAGTAAACTTGCCCCAAAAAAGGCAAGTCTTCCTGATCGGGAAACAGAAAAAAACCTCGGCAAGTGCCGAAAAACTGCTGTGCCGGTGGAGTCACCTAAAGTTTTCGTTTGCCCATTCCCGTCGGCTACGATTTTGGGCTGGCGGATGTTCTCCTGGCGCCAACTTGAAGCACAGCCAAGCAGCAAGCTGCACTAGTACCCTTAGTCAGGGAGCAAAAGTTGCACAAGTGAACTTGTCACAAATCACTTACTCCAGAGAACAGAGACACATAATCCTCGCCGGATTCCTCGCAGCTTGTTCAAAAAAACAGAGACGCATACATCATCGTGACGCATGTCCTATAAAACAAGTAGGCAAGAGAGTTATCGCGAAAGATTGACAGCTGTTACGTTTGTGACTTCAAAGAGCTTTACAAGATAAATCCCCTTCTTCACTCACGCGATATTGCTGGATCAGGCTTTCGCCCATTGTCCAAGATTCCCCACTGCTGCCTCCCTTAGGAGTCTGGGCCGTGTCTCAGTCCCAGTGTGGCTGATCATCCGAAAAGACCAGCTAAGCATAGTTCGACTCCAAAGAAAAGGCCTTGACTTGATGTAATATGAGAGACTTACTAGAGAAAGGGAGAAGAGAGAGAATGTTGGGAGTGTGGTTGATGGAGATGGTGCTTCATCAACACCAGCCTGGTGGGAGAGGGTTCGTTTACAATTTTACATTTTGGGTCAAGCTCTCAGGGAAGATTATGGCTCTGAGCATCGATTGGGCCCCGGGGGATCTTTTCACAGTTGACGGTTCAGCCTCCTCTGAACTCAGTGAAAATGCAACCAAACAATCTGCCACGCCCTCCCTGTTGTTTGTCCCCTTTTTTCTGGCTTCCTGCCTATGCTCTCTCTCTCTCTCTCTCTCTCTCTCTCTCTCTCTCTCTCTCTCTCTCTCTCTCTCGCGCGCGCGCGCGCGCGCGCGCGCGCGAGCGCTCACACACACACACACACACACACACACACACACACACACACACACACACACACACACACAGAGTAATCCCTCTCTCTCTCTCTCTCACACCCACACCCACACCCACACCCACACCCGCACCCACACCCACACCCACACAGACTCACCCACACGCACACCCACACCCACACAGACTCACCCACACCCACACCCACATAGACACACACACACCCACACCCACACAGAGAGAGTAAGCTTAGTATCATCAAAACTTGACCGTGTACTTGGGCTCCCCTTCCATCCTGTATATACCCCAATGGCGCTCAACCCCAGCTGGTTTGCGATCTTCATCCAGCAGCGCGAATATGTACATCTGCATCCATCCTGGTCTACGGGGTGTCCCCTGTCCACGGAGAACGCGGCTGACTAGTGCGTTGTTGTACGTTTGTGCATTGCTGATTGTTGCGTTTCCGGTCGGATCGTCAGCTGTTGGCCAGCCCGTCTCCCCAATCTCAAGAAAAAGATCTGGAAACCCCTCCTTCGTCATTGCGGCGATGACAGAGTCAACCATCGCGTCCATCAAGTTGGTGTAGTTGAAGGGTCCATCCCTTACAGCCACCTCATTCCGAGATCCCAACGCATAATCAAGGGTGACATCCCTGGGGTTACCTTGACGGGTGAAAAATGGATAGATATTGACCGTCAGACAAGAACCCGTATCAGTCAGAAACCGCAGCATGTCGCGCATTGTCGCTCTCCAAGCATCTGCGAACCTACCTGCACTGGGAGGGTAGGTGTCTGTGACAATGGCAAAGCTTAATGGCGTTGTAACCTTGATCCTCCTCTCCAGACCAAAGTCTACTAATGCTCTGTGCACATTCCTCATCGCAGGAACCAATGTGGAGATAAACCTCCCCCCATACATTCCCTCATTGGCCTCGTTGCCCACCTAATCAGACAGGCAATGCCATTTGATTAACAAGCCATTGGCAAAACAAAAGAAAGGGACACTGTCAGTGAGAAGAAGGGAAAAAAAGGAGGAAATAGCTTTTGAAAAAAGGAAGGATCATTCTTGCATTAAACCCAACCAATTCAATTAATATCTGTCAAAAGCAATGCATTGGGATGAACATGGGTGGAAGCATTGAGGACAAGACAGAGAAAGAAAGAAGAGCCACTGAATAAACTTCATGAATGAAGTTGGAATCTTCA